GATAATCCGTAAATCGCAACGAGAATCTGTAAATCGCAACGATAATCCGTAAATCGCAATGAGAATCTGTAAATCACAACACTGAAATTTTGGGTATATAACACTGAAATCATAAACTAAATCCCTAAATCGCAACTCATTCCATCTCCATCTATCACTCTCTCCGGCGACATCCGTTCCTATATCCAACGACATCCTTCCCCATCCGGCAACAGGTCTTAGTTTCGCATCTCGTTTGTTTAGTTACAACCATGAAATCATCTAATGTTGATCATGTTTGGATAGATTTGTGTTTTGGAGGGTCGTGGGATAATGTTAATGGTGTTTTACAATATATGCCTTTACCCATAAATCTTCAACTAAAATTGTCTTTACAAAAGTTAACTTATGAAACTCTAATGCTACGTGTTTCAAATAAATTGAATTTAGAGCCCCTAAGTGGATTTAGGCTATCTTATCAGAGAAATGGTAAAGTTTATTTGTTAACCGACAATGAAGATGTTGAACGATTCATTGCTTACATTAGTGTTTCACAAGATGATGTTACATTGTATGTTGTTGAACCTAGAAGTAGTATTGTTGGGTCAGTAGCGGGTAGTAATCAACTAAGTTTTTCTCAAAACCCACAACCTTTCTCTAATCCAAATCCCAATCAACTTTCAGCACCAAATTCCGGTTTTCGTATTGACCAGTTAGACGATGATGAGCCAACAGAAAAAATTGTGAGTACTAGTCAGTATTCGAAATTTGGTCTTGGTCAATATCCGGACTTTGATATTGGTCAATACACGGATTTTGATGATGTTTCAGAAGAAGAAACAGACCATGTGTGTAATGATTTTAATATTGGTCAATACCCGAATTTTGATGATGAAACACCCGTTGCCGAGGAAGATGTTGTTGATGATAATGAGGAGGAAGTTACGACTGTGAATGAACATGTTGAACATCCATTCTGTAATTCATATAATCCTGAAGAAGAAAAAGAAGAAGAAAAAGTCCCCGAAGAAAAGAAAATGCCACGGGAGTATAACTGGAATATGCCAGAATTACTTCAGTTACCGGAAGAAGAGTTGGCAAAGAAAGCAGTTGATTGTTACACAAAAGTTATTCGTGTCAAGAAAGATGATTGTTTTGATACAAAGGAAGACTTGAAGATAGCTTTGTATACGAAATGTGTGGAAGATGGCTATCAACTAAAAGTTAACAAATCAAGCAAAGATCGTTTCGAAACAAGGTGTATGATTGACAAAAACTGTACGTGGCGTATGATTGCAAAGAGAATAAAAGATTGCAAAATGTTTCAAGTTAGGACTTTTATTGATAAACATACATGTTCAAGAACCCAAGTTTTTCCTCACCATAGACAGGCAAACAAAAAGGTGTTGGGTGGTTTTCTGGCTGAGTTAATGTTTTTGAATGGCAGGGTATATCGGGGACATGAAATTATGACTGACATGAATGCTCGGTTCAAGATTAGTATATCATATTCTCAAGCTTGGAGAGCCAAATGTTATGCCTTGGAATTGTTGAGGGGGTCGCCAGAAGCATCGTTTGCCCAACTGCCGGCTTATTGTCACAATTTAAAGCTGAAAAATCCTGGGTCGGTAACTCATATCAAAACAGATAGAGATGGACGCTTTGAGTTGATGTTTATCGCCATTGGTGCTACGGTTAGTAAATCAATATAATTTTGTTGACTCATTTTTGTTAGTTACATGCATTTCACATTTAAATGATTATATTTCTTGTGTATATTATTTTGTAGATTCGTTCGTTTATTACTTGCATGCGCCCAGTTATTATAGTTGACGGAGCACATTTGAAAGGTCGATACCTTGGAGTAAACTTATTAGCAGTAGCCATGGATGCTAACAATGGGATATTGCCAATAGCTTACGGGGTTGGCAAATCTGAAACCTCTGATTCATGGACATGGTTTATGGGGCATCTTAGGGATTGCATAGGTCCTATTAGCAATCTGACAATCATATCCGATAGGGCAAACTCAATTGACAACGCTGTTAGAAGGTGTTTCCCAGATGCTTTTCATGGACTTTGTGGTGTTCATTTGTATAGAAATCTAAAATCAAGGTCTGCTGGTATAAAAAAGCACAAATGGACATACTGGAAGGCTGTAAAAGCTTATCGGGAAGTGGATTTCAATAAGCATATAAATTGTTTAAGACGTGTTTTGCCTCAGTGTGCTCAAACACTAGAAGATGTCGGGTTTGAAAGATGGTCAAGAGTACATCAACTTGGAGCAAGATATGGTTTCATGACGTCTAATAGTGCAGAATCAATCAACGCTCTAAGTCGTCATTCCCGGAAATTACCCATTACTATGTTAATGGAGTTTTTTCGAGCCTCTATTCAACAGTGGTACTACAAGAAAAGAAACCATGCAGGTATTATTTCTTTGAATTCGTAACTTATCATATTTATATATTTTACTAAGTATTGTTTATTTAAATTTACAGGAACATTGGAACATCGTGTTACACCATGGACTGAAAAAAAGATAACGAAACGTGTTGTGAAGTCAACGTCATGGAGAGTTGAACCATGTTCAAACACTTTGTTTCAAGTACTGGATAATAACTTAAATGGGCTTGTCGATCTAAATGCAAAGACGTGTAGTTGTATGAAATGGCAAACATCTGGTTATCCGTGTGGCCATGTTATAAAAGTTGCTCTTCATTTAAACCAAGATGATTCAAGCGCATACGCTATGGATTGCTACACTACAGAAGTTTATCGACAGACTTATGCCGAGATTGTCTACCCTATTCCACATCCTTCTGAGTGGGACATACCAGATGACTTACAAACAGTTTTGCCACCAGCCATGGACAGAAGGCTACCTGGCCGACCAAAAAGTCACGATCGTATACCGTCTAAGGGTGAAGAGAAGAAGAGATCGACATGTAGTCGGTGCAAGGAAAGTGGTCATACAAGGTTGACATGTGGAAAATGAAACCATATCTCTTCCTCACCACGTTGTATACTGTCGGGTAGATTTGATGTCATGGTCTGAAGCCACAAATGGGTCAAATTAGCATCTCCACCCGGATGCTGTACTCTCAGCCATGGCCCGAAGCAGGTTTCCTCAAACAATTGTCTTTGAGCAGGTGAAAGCTTCTTTGCAATTGTAGTGGCCAGGCTGACTTTATTTCTCAAGGTCAATTGAGCCGAAAAAAATTTCTACAAAAACAATAAACATACCAAGTTAGATATACCAAAAACTACACTGTGAAGATATACCAAAAACAATAAACATAAAAAGTAGTAGTTTATTCTTTAAACTAAAATTTGCAACACTGTTTTGTCTTTTGGTTGAAATGAAAATCGCAACGAGAGAATCGCAACGCGAGATGACAATCGCAACGAGAGAATCGCAACGCGAAATGAAAATCGCAACGAGAGAATCGCAACGCGAAATGAAAATCGCAATGCGATTTTGGTTTCGCGTTGCGATTCTCTCGTTGCGATTTCCATTTCGCGTTGCGATTCTCTCGTTGCGACAGTCATTCTCTCGTTGCGATTTTCATTTATCTCGTTGCGACTCTTCTGCAAATTGAAACTTGAATGGATTGCATTACTTCAACCAAAAGACAGAACAAAGACAAAGACAAATACTAACTTGAAAATCGCAACGAGAGAATAGCAACGCGAAATGAAAATCGCAACGAGAGAATCGTAACGCGAAATGAAATCTAAGTGAAATGGTTAATCTATTATTGAAATGACCAGTAAACTTATCATCAGTTTCAATATGAAAAACCTACAATAATGCAAACATTTCAAAATAAAAATAATTAAAAAAACTAACCCTCGGAGGTTGATTTTCCATTTCTGAATATTGTGAGGGATTTCTGACCGTGAATGGTTGTGAGGGATTTCGCCGGAGATGGGGACGGAAATCTTCGGAGATGGGGACGGATTTCTTCGCCGTAGAGAGTGAGAGATGGAGATGGGACTGAGTTGTGATTTTAGGTTTTAGGTTATGAGTTGCGATTACGGGATTTTGTCTTAATATTCTTTTTGTAATTTGAAAATAAAATACGCGTAGCGATTATAATGGCGCTTTAAATATCGCGTTGCGATTTACGGATACGCGTTGCGATTTTATGTATTATCGTTGCGATTTACGGATACGCGTTGCGATATACGGATACGCATTGCGATTTACCCATACGCGTTGCGATTTACGGATACACGTTGCGATTTACGGATACGCGTTGCGATTTATGTGTTCGCGTTGCGATTTTCATATTCGCGTTGCGATTTTGGAAAATCGCAATGCGAATTTGTACTATCGCATCGCGATTTTCAAGAATCGCGTTGCGATTTTGGAAACTGATTTGCGATTCTGGAAACTGATTTGCGATTCTGGGGATCGCGTTGCGATTTTTATTTCGCGTTGCGATTTTGTTGGTCATTTTGGCAAATCCAAAAAAAGTTGGTTAAAATCGTATATTATAACTTTTTTTTGGTCACTGAGGCGATTTTCTCAATTAAAAATTATAAACGAGTTTCGATAAAAAAAAATTAGTATTATACATAAATTTTTATTTTGTGTATTTTTATATGCAAACTTTCAAAAAATTTATTAAATGGATGTGGTACCATTTGACGTTTAGATATTATATATACCAATAATTATATTTATTAAAGAATGGATATATTTTCTCTAAATATATATAATTTAATCAAAAAAAATTTATGTATATATAATAGTCAGCACTAAAGTTTCATGTATATAATATTAATACAGGTATCAAAATAACATGTTAATGTATACATTTAGTATTTATCCTGATTTTAAATACCAGTATAACATTATAACAAAAAAAAAACACACCAATTGTCAAATACAATCAAGGAGTATCCTATTCATAATATACCCAAAACTATATCTTTACAAAGTTTAGCACAATATTGGGAATTGGGAATTCATGATTGCACCACAAGGGCAATCAATAATTTTTTTGACAAGTGGGAAGAAAAATTATGGGTTTGTTGAAAAAAAATATATAGAAATGAACAAATAACATCTTTAAAACCAATTTATACAATTTGAACAATACTCTATTATCCCAACAAACAGAGAAATGTTGATAAAAGCATACGCCCGAGCAGATCATTGTTTGTACAAGTGGTTCACTGATTTCCAGGAGCTCATTACAAATTTACAATGGAATCTGTTTCAACAGGCTTGAACTAGATAAGCGCTGAAGGAACCAGATCCTCTTCGTCCAGCGTCCTGGCTTTCTCCCCTGCTGCTGGAAATGACGGGATTGCCCTCCGTCCAACCATTATCGGATCTAACAGCTCGAACTCAAAACAGGGTTCTTTCAGTGCTGAGCTCACGAACTGAATACCAGAAAGAGCAAAAATCATTTCACATTCTAACTAGGATAGTAATGGAGTACTAATGAACAAGATCACAACCACAAGCATGACCGACTCCATTGGAGCAACACGAACGACATTCTAACTATATTAAAGAAACAGATAGGGAGTAATATGAACGACCAGACAAAGAGGACTAACCTCGTACAGAGCACTAGTTGGCTCCCGAGGAACAAATTCACCTTGGAGCACCACTCCATCAGGAAACTGGATGCGAATGATTGTCCTATACCTTCTCCTACCAGCTTTCGCCTGCTTTTCCTTGTAAGATTTAGGAATTAAAAGCTGGAATTCTGCAATCTTTTTCCTTCTCAAATGATAGGTTATAGAAAGAATCCGGTAGCTCCATTTTTTATGTTATACTCTCGGGTACAGAGAAAAAGACCCGAACCGAAAATAACAGAATCCATGTTCGGTGTTACGGATATATGCTACAAGACCTAATTAATAAGTGTATTAAGAAGAATGAGAGACAGGTGAACATCTAATATCATGATAAAATCATCCGCGTGACAAGCTAGTTTGCAAAGAGGCTTCATGCAAAGATGAGTGTTCAAACTATATTTAAAGTTCATTTTAGGTATTTAAAATTTTTTCAGTGTTTAATGTTTTTTACGTTAAACTTTTAGATACTCGTCGAACTATATTTTTGATCGAACTATATTTTTGAGCAAGTATATTGGGTATGTTGACTAAACTATTTATTTATGTTCCATTATATTCTCTTAGGCTATAGATTCTAGATCTTTTAGGAGCACTCTCTTCCTTCTTTATCCTAGAATCTCCATTCTCTCCTCTCAATTAGGATTAAATTTAATATATGTATATATATATACATATATAACTTTAATGTAAAAATAAATATTCAAATTATATATTAAATTAATTTTACGTATTTAAAGAAATTTTTAAAAAATTGTTAAAAATAAGTATATAATATTTTATCCGTTACACTTTCACGATCATTAAATTAAACTACCATCTAACACGCATCACTATATATATATATATATATATATATATATATATATATATATATATTAAAAATATAAAAATATATATATATTTTTTTAAAAAAAACAACCCATCCCTTTCGACCCCTCCTTTTCCCCTGCCTCCCACTTTCCTCCACCTCTCCTTCTCCCACTTTTCCTAACATTGATAAATAGATGACCTTTCCGCTTCTCCTTCCTAACATTGATAAATAGAATGACCTTTTGACGATGGAGTTAGTAGTTGAAGATAACCAACGAGGACTGAAAATAAATTTAAAATAAATTTTTTTAAGAGTATTGGGATTTTTTTTATTTTCAATATTTTTTATTTTTTAAAAATAAATTATAATTTGTTGTTTTAAAATATTTTTTAAAAAAAAAATTTATAAATCTAAAACATATTATTGACACATATCATTAAATTTAACTACACTTACTTTTAACAAAAAATTAACAATTATTTTTAAGTTAGGCATATATATACTTGGCTATAAACATAATTAAGAGGGTGAGATAGAAAATAAAAAGTGATTATTCTTTGATGTTTTTCTCTTTGCACCTCTAAACAGAGGCATCAAAACAGTAAACAAATAATCACTTTTTGTAGATAACTGCACAAAATAGCTCTGAATGATGAACAAAAACAAATTCATAGGACTACATTAGTCTTAATCAAAACACTAACATTTTGTTTCATCAACAAAACATACAAGTCTAATCAACAGGAAATATCAAAACAGAAAAAAAAGAAGACAACAAAAGAGTACCCCAAACACAACCATTCGCACGTATCTAACTCAATCGCGATTCTTAAGCCTCTCCAGGCGCTCATTCAACTGTTCCACACTCACAACAAGGTGAGTCACGGAGTAAAGAAGCCAATAGAAAACAAGGGCGGCGGCGATGAGAAACGCGTTGCGTTGGCTCTTCATGATGGATTTCTGGTGACGGAGATGCTCGGAAGTAGTACAAGAGTCGCCTTCGCAGCTGGCCCGGGTCTCGTATTTCCAGTAAATATCCATCAGAAGAAACAGACAGAAGGGGACCACCGTCATGAAGGGTTTGAGGAGGTTGCGTGTGACTGCGGTCAAGCCCTTGCGGAGGCCGGCGAGGCCGGGGAGTGTGAGGAGGAGTACCATGATGGCCTCTGCACCGGCGGCGTAGCCAAGCACTACCCATTCCAGGGCCATTGTTATTCCTCTTCTGAGAGAAAATTGATAGATTATATATGATATTTGACGAAACGAATGGGGGCTTTGGGATGTTCGTTTCTTGGTCAGGAAGATCTAAAAGACTGAAGAGGTGGCCGACTGCCCACTGTAAGTAAATTGAGGAAGGAGGGACACGTGGAGTATGTCACAAAACACATGGCTGCTTAATAAGATTGGGTTTTTCATTTATGGGTAAAGTATAGAAATGATATCTCGATTATTGAGTGTTACTTTATTGAGTCCCTCAATTATTAAAAATTATAATATAATACATCAATTATAGGGTATTACTTTGTTGAGTCCCTCAACTATAAAAATTATAAAATGATCACCAACTATTTATATATTTTGAATCCGTCCCTTTTGTTAAAAATGACTTTATTATGGGTTGAACATTAATCTATTGACTGTGATATGATAAACTCTAATCACAAAATTATTTTAGTTGTATAGCCATTTGAGATTCTACGATTATATTTTATTATATCTCAATCAACAAGTTAGCGTCACACACAAATGTCGTCAAATATTTTAATAGAAAATAATGATTTTGAAATATATAAATAGTTGCGTGATCATTTTATAACTTTTAATAGCCGAAAGAATCAATAAAAACCCTATAGTCAGGGAACCATTGTGTGACTTTCAACAGTTGAAGGACTCAACAAAATAATACTCTATCATTGAGGGATTATTTATGTATTTTATCTTTCTATTTTAATCCTTTAATTATTTTCTAAAAATATAATTAATATTACAATTTTGTTATATTTTGATAATTTTCTATTAAAAAATGAATAGAATTATTGATGTGTCATTTTTTTTAATTTTTTTTAAAAGATGATATGACATTATTTTATAATAAAAAATTAATATTACCATTAATTTTTTAACGGTAAGTGATCAAAATAAAATTAAAAAAATAATATTAAATATAATTAAATAATTAAAATGAAACTACAAAAATAAATGAATGACTAAATACGTAAATCACCCTTACTTACTATGCCCTAATTTAGCTTCTTTCTTCTTTCCTACGTTAACAAAATTTTATTAATAATATGTTTGATTTTGGACAATTAATTTTCTAAATAATATCTTTTAATTATTTTATTTAAATATTATTATATATGAATATAGATAACACAAATATCATTTATAGTGATATTTATTATTATATAAAAAATAATATTTTTAATTTAATTAATATGCTCATGAACAATATAACATCAATTTAATAAAAATTCATATAATTTGATTGATATATAAACATAGCCAAAAGTTTAAGGATTTCGTCTGAATTCATGTGTTTATTTATTTTTGAGTGCGTTGCCGGATTTAATTTATTTAAAACACACACCAAAAATTAGCAACTTCATCATTAGCATCATTGCTACTTTAACATTAAAACAATAGTTTGGTGGGGATGACGAGCCATAAGTTAATACATATCTGAAAATGATTGTAAAAATATTTAATAGATGAGATTATATGCAGGTGCGAGCATTCCAAGGGAAAAATATGAAAACAATGGTCATATACATATTAATAATAAAAACCTTTTTTTTTTATTATCTTCTCGATTTTCAAAGATTCATCTTCATTAATTCAGACTGATCCGTGTTATACATTTTTAACTTTAGTGGGTGAGTTTTACAGCATAATTCTTTTTATATATACAAAGATTTAAACTCGAAACATGCTCATCAAGAGAAAAGTAAAGGATTACAAAGCAAAACGAACAAGTTACCGTATGCAAAGGTTTTGCTGAAAAACGGTGTTTTTATTTACCACCTGAAAAGTAAGGGCATTTGGAAATTTGAGAAAAGCAAAAGGGTAAAAGAAAAAACATGCAATGACTTTATTTTGATTACCTTTTCCATCTTTTTCACATAGCTTTGATAGGAATGATACAAATACTACGAGCAAGGCAACTCCGGCAATGAGTCCAATCAGAATTGCTAGCGTCTTCTCAATCTCATCATCATTATTATTTGTGTCTACGTTCATAAAATCAATAGAAACTTTTAAAGGTGAACAGGTATACAAATAACATAATTTTACAATTGTTTGTGGACACAACAAAAACTCATAACGAATATAATCAGTAAAATAAACGATCAATAAAAGAAATTTTAAATTTCAGGATAGATACTTATCTACCTGAAATCTATGTAGACCCGTCATTGATTCTCATTGTTAACTCAATAGTTGCGCCAATTTATGTATAGTTGTGACCAAACTACTTTTAGGTGGGAGGGGAACATTGGCTTCTTTGTTAATTTCAAAAGGGACATTGATTCAAGTGTAGGGTCATATTACGTATTCTAGCATATACTGCTATGAAGGTGCTTTTAACATGTTACATTGTTTTTTTAGAAAAAAATATAACCTAATTTGACATTACATATGTGTTCTACATCAAGTAGTCAAAGAATATGTATATAATTCATCTTTCAACATACATTATATAAAATTCATCAAAATCAATTGTTCTTTTCCGTTTAATTTTACCGTATTAATCAAAATTCATAACTTCTTGAATAATTTGGACTTACCAAACCAATTATGAACATTTCACATGGCATGAAAAAGAAAATCAAGATTTGTCACTTCTTTTGGTCAATTTCATGCAAATTCACACTAAATTAAGCAAAAAAAAATGAAGAACCACCGACCGAGGAGGTTGCGACACCGCTTACCGTTTCCGCCGTGCGAGTGGTCTCCGCCTTCCGAGTACCGAGCGTAGCACTTAGCCAAATACATGTCGCCCCACTTGGCTGCCGCACAATCTGTTTTGAGTCGTCCGATTGCCTCCGACAAGCAATCTTGACACTCGCTGGGGCTCAAATCCCCTACACACTGAGCCACACCTTGTACGTCCCCTGACCCGACAATCCGAAACGGCTTGTAAGTCCCGTCACTCGCTCCCAAGTAACCCAATACCGCATCACGTCGAGCCAACGCGTCCGAGGAAGTCGAAATCAACGGCCCACATCTTCTCACCACCACAGTCTTGTCCTTCACGCCCAAAAATGTTGTATTATCGTACTTAACGAAACACCCTTCGAGTTGCAACCCGCCACCGGTCGAGTCAAGGCAAAGAGTGCCGAGTTGACTCACCGCTTTAGCTACACAGCGGCCACAGTCTCCGTTGCTGAGGTCGCCACGGCACTGGAAGAGACCGTAAACGGTGTCCTGAGAGGCGGAGCCAGATGCTGGCACGGTGAAGTTGTTGTAAGAGGTGAATGTGGCCGAGTTGACTAGGGAAGTGAGTATGGAGTTGACGTTATACTCATAAGGAGAGCCTGAAATGAACTTGAGCCGCGAACATCCACCGAAAACGAAGGTATCAGTGGCTGAATTTGATGGATTAATTGTAACGAAAAGAAGAAGAAGAAGAAAAGGTAAAAACGACGCTTTTCTAGTAGCTAAAGCCATGGGAAAGAAACAGATAGAAAGGAGGTGACTGAGAGAAAAAGGAAGGATCTGAAAGAGAACATGGAGAACAAAGTAAGCTATGACTTAAAGAAGAGGATACCACAATATGCAAAATTTATTTTTTTTGCTTTGAGGGGAATTAAAGTAAGGAAAAGGAGTACACTAGCTTCGATCGATTTTATTTAACCAAAAAAATGAATTTAAAAAAAATAATAAATAGATTTCATCTAAATAATAAAGATTATCATTTGATATATTATCCGTAAAAAATAATTATCTTTAAGTGTATTTAGAAATTAAAAAAAAATTATCGAAATTGTTTTTAATTATTCAAAAATCATTATAAATCATTTTGGGTTAAATATGATCAAATACCTTTAAACTTCCACAGGAACTTGAGAGAAACTCCGTTCAATTTATTATTTGGTCATTCCAGTGGAAGTAGGAATCAATTTCTTCCACACTTTCCGTTATGACTAGCTAACGAGGAAATACTCCAAACCAATATATATCTCCTAAAAGAAATAAGAGAAGTAACAAAAATTAAACGAAATCAGAAAGTCGTCTCAAGGTTTGAAACATACAATACATTAAATATAATTAATTTCAAACTGTAAATAACTCAATTTATTCATTTAATAATTTAAATAGAACCATGTATAATCGTAAAACAACAAATTTTAATTTTAAATTTCAGGTCTTTCACCAAATATATAACGCTACAGCCTTGCAAGGTCTCAAAAATAATCCATACCAACTAATCTCCCAACAAGTGTTAATTAGTAATGATTTAAGAACTAATTTTTTAACCCATCAATATTAGTGATAAAATAGAATGTTATTTTTTTTAAAAATCTTTGATTTAAATAGCAGTTTCTGCGGGCTATGTGTGCTAATAATAATTAAAAAAAATTATGATAGTATATTATTTATAATTAAAATCTAGGAATTGTAGAAGATGGGTAGTGGCATAGGTTTAAAGATGAAAGCCAGGTGTCGTTTGACCCATAGTACATCAAAAGATGGTCCGAGACTAAGTTTTTGCCTCCCACATTATACTTAATTGATCTTTCACGGTCAAAATCAACTCCATTTGCTGGTAATTAATTGGTTAATTATGTCATAGGTTCAAATGTAAGGGATTCTTCTTTGTAGTTCTAGAAAATTTATGTAGGAAAAGACACTAATTCAGTAATTCCAGAAGATTGTATTTAGGACAAGTTCTATTCGCTTTTTTAAGTTAAATTCTAATTTTTCCTACTTGTTTAAATTTAATGTAATATAAACAAATTCAGTGTATGATTTTGATTTTTTCTTTTTCCTTCTAAAGAGGTTACTTTTTCTAGTGACTAGACAATGCGACCACCTTCAATTTTATGTATAGAGGTAGCCATTTTGTTCTGGAAAAAGAAAAGGTACAAATTAAAGCACAAGTAGAATATTGGGTTCTATGGATTACAATAATATATGAAGTGGGTGGTTCAGAAAGAAGAAGAAAACCCTTTCATGAATAAAGGTTAGGATAAACTTCACGTTTATTATTTAAATTATTACTTTTATTATATTTTATTACTAATTTTTTTTTAATTTTTTTAAATAATATCTAACGTTTAGTTTAGATTTCATTTTGATATACCGTTGTTAAAAATTTGACGGTAATGTTATAGTGTCACTATAAGGTAACACCACATTACAACTGAAAAAATAAAAAATGTCACGTTAGTAGTTCTATTAATTTTTAATGGCGTATTACTAAATTAAAACTTAAACTAAATATTAAATATAATTTTAAAAAAATAATATTTAGATATCAAAATAAAACAAAAATATTCATTTAAAGTATTAAACATATAGTTTACATAAATTTTATGAAATGGAGTTTTTTTTAGCTAATATTTCTATTTCAACTAACTTGATTGACCGACTTTTCAAAATATAAACTAATTGTTCATCGGTCACCACAAATAAAGGAGTACCTGTTGGCTCCACTCATGTTTTTTTTATAAGGCTATATACGACTATAAAAAGAGGAACTAATTAAGATTAATATTATGTTAACGATCAAATTAGATAAATATTAACTAATACTTTTAAAACTATAATATATATATATATCATTGAGTTTTCTCATTGAATAAGGTAATTTTATTTTACTATTAAAAAAAGGTGATTGTATTTTAAAATAATGTATTTGAATTTATTTGATGTTGTGTCAGCAATATATATGGAAGGTTAAAAAATGACGTGACTGGTTAAATAGGTGGCTAGTTAAAAGCACTACGGAAAATGTTATATGTTTTAACTGGAAATGTTATTTGTGTTGATAATAATAATGGTAATAACCGAAAATGTTATCGTTGTATGTAAAATGGGCCAAAAAATATTGACTTAAATAATTTATGTTAATTATTTGAAACATTATCAACAATAATAACATAACAGGTTGTGCCTATTTAAAGTAACATATTGCGCTTATTTAAAGCTGATGAGACCTTATAAATCTTACGATAACAAAATAGGTTAATTATTTATTTTGTTATTAATATTACCAACATATTATGTAACGCCTAAAATGTTACAAAAGTTTAAACTGATGGGGCCTTAGAAATCCGACGATAACAAAATAGATTAATTATTTATTTTGTTATTAATATTATCAACATATTAGGTAGTGCCTAAAATGTTATCAAAGTTTAAGCTGACGAAGCATTATAAATCACATGATAACAAAATAGGTTAATTACTTATTTTTTTATAAATATTATCAACATATTTAGGTTGCGCCTAATATGTTAACAAAGTTTAAGTTGACTTCGAAATCCAACTACAACAAAATAGGTTAAATACTTATTTTTTTTATAAATAAGTATTAACATACTAGATTGCATCCAATAATGTTATTGTGAATAAAGAAGTAGGTTGCGATCTGAAATATTAAGTTGTATTTAATGAAATCGGTAAAGATTTAATATATTATGTATATATGGATGGAAATTATTTTTAAAATAAATAATGATATTACTATGATCTGATGGCCGATACTTTAGCAAATATCGATATTATTTTCTATGATATTTGATATTTTATCTTTTTAGAAACTTGTTATATAATTTGAAAAAAATTGAAATATTATTATGGAAAGTTACTTATTTACAAAATTCCATTAAAATATCTTTGTAAAAATACAGATACTTAGTGTGGATGTATCGAAGCTCTTATACTCCATATCGATACTTAATGTAGATGTATGAAAATTATTAATACTGATACTTAGTGTTTATGTATCGATACGTATTCAGGAAAATTATTAATACTCGATATCGATATTTTAGAATTTTAGATTTTTTATGATTGTTATCGAGACTTTAACATTTGAAAAAGTTGATGAATGTTAAAATATTGATAATTGATATATGATGTATCGATATTTTTGAAAAAAAGTTGATGAACTCCACCCCTTACATCAACCTACAAGTATCGATACTTTCGAATTTAAAAAAAATATTTCAAACGGTTAAGTTGTAAATATTTTACCGTTTACATTATGATTATTCCTTTAAACAAATCGGTAGGTAGTTTAACGTAATAGGTAGCGTATATTTTATTTTAACCGGTTAAGTTGTAAATATTTTACCGTTTACATTATTATTATTATACTTTTAAACAAATTGGTAGATAGTTTAACGTAATACGTAGCATCTATTTTATTTTACCGTTTACATTATTATTATACATTTAAACAAACTGGTAGGTAGTTTAACGTAATAGGTAGCACCTATTTTATTTTAACCGGTTAAGTTGTAAATATTTTACCGTTTTCATTATTATTATACCTCTAAACAAACCGGTAATTAGTTTAACGTAATAGGTAACAGCTATTTTATTTTAACCGGTTAAGTTGTAAATATTTTATCGTTTACATTATTATTATATCTTTAAACAAATCAATAACTAGTTTAACGTAATAGGCAGCACCTATTTTATTTTACCGTTTACATTATTATTATTATTATTATTATTATTATTATTATTATTATTATTATTATTATTATACCTTTAAATAAAACAGTAGTTAGTTTAACGTAATAGGTAGCGCCTATTTTATTTTAACTGGTTAAGTTGTAAATATTTTACCATTTGCATTTTTATTATATCTTTAAACAAACTGATAGCTAGTTTAACGTAATATGTAGCGCCTATTTTATTTTATCGTTTACATTATTATTATACTTTTAAACAAACCGGTAGTTAGTTTAAAATAATAAGTATCGCCTATTTTATTTTAACCAGTTAAGTTGTAAATATTTTACCGCTTACATTATTATTATACCTTTAAAAAAACAGTAGCTAGTTTAACGTAATAGGTATTTTATTTTAACCGGTTAAGTTGTAATTATTATTACAATATCGATATTTTTATAACGATATTTTAATGAAAATTTTCAAACAAGTAACTTTCGATCTTAACTTAAACAATTTTTTTCAAATAAACAAGTATCGATATTTTAATTTCCATCAACTTTCTCAAATGTTAAAGTATTGAACATAATAGAAAAGGTATCAATATTTTATCATTCATCAAATGTTAAAGTATCAACCATAAGATTATAGTATCAATATTTATTTTAAAAAAAGTTTGATACTTTGCAACATTCTCATTTTATATGTTTTTTTTTAAATTCAAAAGTATTTATATTTGTAGAAAAATATTGAAACTTTGTAGCATTCTCATTTTTTATTTTTTTAAAAATTTGAAAGTATCGATATTTGTGGAAAAATATTGATACTTTGTAGCCTTCTCATTTTTCATATATATTTTTTTAAATTCGTAAGTATCTATACTTGTGGAAAAGTATCGATACTTACTGATCATATAAGTTTATTGGTTATGCCATTGTAATTAATATATTAAGTATAAGTCAATATTCTCAGTCACGCTAAACCAGTTTTGTTAAGGTTCTTTTTAGATTTCCGGTTGTGCTATTTTTTAGTTTTATATAAATCTGTATTTCCTTAGACAATCCCAATATATTATATTTATCTTATTTTCTTGAAGCATTACACTGGTTAGATATTTATGTTATAAATGAAATAAATTGT